TGGGACTTACGGCACATGCCACAACACCAGCTAATTTTTGTATTTTTGGTAGAGATGGGGTTTCACCAGTTTGGCCAGGATGGTCTTGATCAGGTTGAGCTCGTGATCCACCCACCTCGGCCTCCCAAAGTCCTTCTTATTTTTTAATATCCAATGTCGCCTATACTGTGAAGCCTCCCTTGCCCCTGTTAGTTGCTCTGTCTTCTAGGAATGCTTAGCACTTTGCACACTTAGCACTTTCCATCTTACACTCTTAGAGTGTATATTATACCAAATTGAAATTGTGTTGCTCCCTTTGCTAGATTATGGGCTTTTTTAAATTGGCAGGCACCATCCCCAGCATCTGCTATAGTGTTGGGCACATAGAACTGAATGAATTAAAATGTTAAGTGAACAGAGTTTCTAAATCAATTGTATTACTCCATTCTTACACTGCTATAAATAAATACCCAAGGCCAGGTGCAGTGCTCTTGCTGCAATCCCAACACTTTGGGAGGCCGAGCGTGGGTGGTCACAGAGGTCAGAGTTCGAGATCAGTCTGGCCAACATGGCAAATCCCATCTCTACTAAAAATACAAAAAAAAAAAAAAATTAGCCAGGTGTGGTGGGCATGGCATGCACCTGTAATCCCAGCTACTCAGGAGGCTGAGGCAGACGAATTGCTTGAACCCGGGAGGTGGAGGTTGCAGTGAGCCGACATTGCACCGCTACACTCTATCCTGGGTGGCACAGCAACACTTCATCTCTAAAAAAAAAAGAAAAAAGAAAAAAAAAATACCTGAGACTGGGTAATTCATAATGAAAAGAGGTTTAATTGGCTCACTGTTCTGCAGGTTGTATAGGAAGCATAGCTGAGGAGGCCTCAGGAAACTTTCAATCACGATGGAAGGGGAAGCAGGTACATCTTCACACGGCTGGAGCAGGAGAGAGAGAGAGAGTAAGGGGAAGTGCTATACACTTTAAAACAACCAAATCTCATGAGAACTCACTCACTATCATGAGACCTGCAAGAAGGAAATCTGCCCTCATGACCCAATCACCTCCCACCAGACCCCTTTTCCAACATTGGGGATTACAATTTGACGTGAGACTTGAGCAGGTACAAATCCAAACCATATTGCCAATGGTTCCCCAAGTGTGTTCCTGGATCATTAGCATCAGCATCATCTGAGAACTTGTTAGAAATGCAAATTCCTAGGCCCCTCCACAAACATACTAAATAAAAAAAACTCTAAGAGTAGAAGTGGTAGGCACAACCTTGTCCCTTGCCCCCAGATGTCTATGTCCTATTCTCTGGGACCTGTGAGTATGCTATGTTACATAGCAAAAAGGAATTAAGGTTGCAGATGGAATTAAGATGAGTGAGCAGCCAATTTTAAAATAAAGAGTTTATCCTGGATTATCCAGGTGGGCCTAATGTTATCAAAAGGGTCCATAATGGGGAAGAGGGAGATGGAAGGGTCAGAATCAGAAAGATAACACCATGAGAAAGACTTGATCAGCCACTGCTGGCTTTGAGGATGGAAGGAGGCCACTAGCCAAAGAATGCAGGCAGCTTCTAGAAGCCAGAAAAGGCAAGAAAACAGATTCCCCTAGAGTCTCCAGAAAGGAATACAGCTCTGTCAAAATCTTGACTTTTGTCGAGTGAGACCCACTTTAGACTTCTGACCTCCATAACTATAAGATAACAAATTGTTGTTGTTTTAAGCCACCCAGTCTGTGATAATTTGTTACTGCAGCAATAAGATACTAATACAGTAGAGCCCAGCAATCTGTGTTCCAACAAGCCTTCCAGGTGATTCTGAAATTTCCTTTCACTATGCACTGTAGCAGCAGGTATTAAACTGACTACATTCTTCATCCTTCTTTCTTGTGTTTGCTTGTTTGACTGTCTCTGTATGTTCACCACTGTATCCTTGCCTACTGCTGGCACTCAGTAGCAATAATAATGGTAGTAGAAGGAGTTACAGTAGCAGCAGCAGCAAATGCTTGTTGAGAATGTCTATGTGTAAAGTGTTACTCTAAGCACTTTACGTGACTTAACTCAGTCCTTGTAATAGCCCTGTGAAGTAAGTGATATTACTACCCCATATTTTATAAATGAGGTAACTGATGTCCAGAGAAGAAAAACAACTTTCCCAAGATCCCCTAGCTAGTAAGTGGAACAGCCAGACCTCAAACTCAGTCTCACTTAGAGCCCCTACAATGTGCTCTGTAGGCAGAGTACAACATATGTTGGATAGGTGAACGAATGAATGAATGAATGAATGAATGATAAACAGTAAGTTGAACTTGAGGACTTTTTATTTTTGTAGATTTAGAGGGTACATGCACAGTTTTGTTACTGGATATATGTGTAGTGGTGAAGTCTGGGCTTTTAGTGTAACCATCACTCAAGAAGTGTACATTGTACCTGTATTAGTCCATTTTCACACTGCTATAAAGATACTACCTGAGACTGGGTAATTCATAAACAAAGGAGGTTTAATTGATTCACAGTTCCACATGGCAGGGAGCAGGGGGGCCTCAGGAAACTTACAGTCATGGCAGAAGGGAAAGCAGACACCTTCTTCACAAGGCAGCAAGAGAGAGAAGTGTGAGCACAGGAAAAACTGCCACTTGCAGATCCATCAGATCTCTTGAGACTCACTATCATGAGAACAGCATGGGGGAAACTGCCCCCATAATCCAATCACTTCCCTCCCTTGACATGTGGGGATTACACGTGGAATTACAATTCAAGATGAGATTTGTGTGGGGACACAGAGCCAAACCATATCAGTACCCAATAAGTAATTTCTCATCCTTGACTTCCTTCCCACTCTCCCACCTTTTGAAGTCTCAAGTGTCTCTTACTCGACTCTCACCTGAGGACTTTAGAAACTTTGGAAAGGAACAGTGGAGCTCTAAAGGAATATCATCCCAGCACTGATTCAGAGGAGTGGGGAGAAGACACACGCTTCTCTTGCATGGACGTCAAACAGAAGACACAGGAAAGCAACTAGAACAGGAGTGGAAAACAGGACTGGCTGAAGACGGCACAGTATAGGAGTGGAGAGGGTGCACCCTGGGTAGGAACTGTGCATGGCTTCCTGAAATGGGGGAGCCAAGAGGTTTTTTTGTTTGTTCGTTGTTTGAGGTGGACTCTCACTTTGTGGCCCAGGCTGGAGTGCAGTGGCAAGATCTCGGCTCACTTCAACATCCACCTCCCAGATTCAAGTGATTCTCCTGCCTCAGCCTCCCGAGTTGCTGGGATTACAGGTGCATGCCACCACACCCACCTAATTTTTTGTATTTTGAGTAGAGATGGGGTTTCACCATGTTGGTCAGGTGGTCTCAAACTCCTGACCTCAAGTGATCCACCCGCCTTGGCCTCTCAAAGTGCTGGGATTACAGGCGTGAGCCACCCGGTGCCTGGCCAGCAAGAGTTGAAGGCTAACAGGAGAGGCAAGGCTGGAACTATATTCACCACAGTATCGCTAGCCTCTAGTCTAGGCCTGGAACCTCAGAAACCCAGCGCCTGAATATCAATGTATCTTTGTTGAGTAAAAGAGAATTTTAGTGTGAAATTGTTCTGGGCTCTTCAGACATTCGTTTCAAGATGTCTGAGGAAGATCTGTGATTAGGTTCAGCAGACCTCTCAGTAGTAATGCAGACACTATGAGGGGAAAGGCTGATTTAAAAATCAACACACTGGAGGAGCTGGAGGCACAGGGAGCATAGACAGAATGGGTTCTGGTAAGTGGTCAAGACCCAGTGTCCAGGGAATGTGGCTATTTTCAGTCAGGGGCCTCACTGAGCAAGGGAATTGTAGCATTTATTTAGTGCCCATTGTGAGTCAGCCGTAGGACTAGGTGTTTTCCTTCCTTGAGCTCATTCGAGCAAAGTGCCCCAGTATGTGAGGTGCGAACAGGAAGAGGAAAACAAGGGAATGACTCAGAGCCCAGGTTGGCAGACAGGGCCAAGGCCATCTCTCCATAGGGGACAGGTTCAACCTATTGGGTCGGTCCTATGGCAGGGTCCAGGCCCCAGGGAGAACTGCCTTAAACAAAGCAGGGCCATAGGGGTCAAGACATATGCCAGAAACAGAATGAAGGCTAGCTGATGGCACAGAGCATAGCCAGAGGCAAGGGGCAGAACTAAGTTTACGGAAGGAGAAATAACCCCAAAGTGCAGTGCACAGGGATGAGACACTGCAGTCAGGGAGGGAAGAGGTAGAGCTGAAGTCAGGGGAAATTCCTAAGAGAAATACTCATGATCAGAGTTCCTACAGTTACAAAGCTAAGTAGGTAAGAAAGATTTCTTAACATCAGTGAAAGTGATGGTGAAGAGCCACAGAGTCACGTGCTTTGCCCAGGTTGAGTTCCTGACCCACAGATCTGTAAGCATAATACTTTATTGTTTTATGCCACTAAGACTTGAGGTAATTTGTTTCCTCAAATTACAGTTACTTCACCATTACACAAATATCCAGTAACAAAATGTGCATGTCCCCTCTAAATCTGTAAAAATAAAAAAGTTAAGTCCTCAGGTTAGACTTACTGTTTATTATTCGTTCATTCGTGAATTACACAGTTACCCCAGATTTAATTCCTAGAGCACCTATTTTCATAAATTTTAGTTTCATTTTCAAGATAAGGTTCGAGTCCAACCTCTTTTTTTTTTTAATACGGGAGAACTTGAGAACCCATTTTAAGTGGAACTACAGTAAGTGACCTTTTTCTAGTATCAAATTTCCTGCAATACTTTGCAGGGAACACTGTCTCAAACCCCTTGGCTCTATGTCCCATGGCAGGTAGAGAGATCAGTGGGCCCAGCCACTGGGAACCCTGGGAAGCCAGGGGAAAATAGATGGGTTTGAGTTAACTGCAAAAGGCCTAGAACTCAGTGTTGCATGGTCCTGCGATGGTGTTGTGGAAAGAGGACCACATTTGGTGCCAGATGGTACACTCAATAATTATGTGGTATTGGCCAAGTTACTCTACTTTTCTGAGCCTCAGTTTCCTCAGTTGTACCATGGGGCTACTAATCTTCCCTTCCTGGGCTGTTTTACTGCTCACAAGTGATAATCTATGTAAAGTAGTCACCAAAGTTAGTTTCCAACTGAGGATGCCACTCCTACTATGAAATCCACTTTTATTAATGTGAGAAGGATTATTTTTTAAATCATAAAAAACAAAATGAGATAAAGTCATGTTCAAGTTTCACAGTTTCACTTCTTTTCTTCTTTTTCAGATCCTTCACCTTATTATTTTACTCCTCCCTATGTGCAGACCCTATTTTGATATCCCTATGCATGGGATAATAAATAGGATTCTTCTTGAGCACCAACTCCATTGAACTACTTGGAACTCTTGAGAAGAATTCTGACACTGAAACCAGGCTCATTACAAAATGGTGCCATGATCTACTGGTGATATATGCTTAGGAGAGTTGGGTAGCATCACTATTGCCCACTTTTTATCAACTCTGTTATATCTTTCTCCCAGACACACTCATTGTATTCTCACTTACCACTCCCCAGAGGAGTCGGATTTTTAGAAGCACAGAGCCTAAGTATAGTCTAGGATTCATATATCCCTAACGACTTTTTAGCTCTTTCCATGTTAAATATAGTGCTGGGTTGCTGAAGTTCACACAAGTCAAATTATTTGGCTTAGATCACACAGCTAGTAAATATGAAAACCAAAATTGAAAGCTGATCTCTCCGATTTTGAAGCTAGAGCTGTGTCTTTAGTAGGCTGTCCCCTTCAGTGGCAACAATCTCTCAAAGTAGGCCTGGATCCAAGTGTAACCTAGGGCTTGTTCTAGGGATAGGGATACAGTTCCCTTTCCTAGAAATGCCACATGTAGGAACTACTGACTATAGGCCACTAATTCATGCTGGGAGAAGTTCAAGTATAGAACATCTTCA